TTCTTTTGTTCAGTTTCTCAAAGACATCTCATGATGTCTGACCAAATTAAGGATGGGCCATCTATTCACTGAGTCCACAGACTAATTGCTAACGTCACCCAGGAACACTCTCAAAGACACACCCAGAGATGATGTTAAACCAGGTCTATGGGCATCCCCTGACCCAGTTATGCTGGCATCCAAAACTAACCATCACTATCATTCTCACTAAAATTATAGTTATTTTGTAATACTGATGACATCCGTGTTTCAACTGTATGATGTTATTTTTTAATTGCACCTTTCAGCCTCTAGCAGGATAATGAGTATTTGATTAAATCAATTTGCTTTCTGGAATCTGAAATATGACTCCTTTGACTTGGTGCTTGGAAGCATGAAATATTTGACAGAAACAGCTCAAGAAGTTCATAGTGAAGTATTATGATGGTCTGAATCAGATGTTTAGAAAATTAAAGGACAAAGACTGAGATGCCAGATACAAACTGTAGAATAAAAAAGCATAGTTAGGGGTCTGTGCCACCACTGCTGGTTATATAGTCAACAGAGAGGACATCTCTGTTGTAGAATATATAGAACAAGTCAAACCAATTGAAGAAAGTTGTGAGAAGACCCAAGAAACAGAGAAAGACCTGTAAATTAGAATTTCCTCAATTAATCTTAATTTAAATATACTGAGAAGATAATCCAAATGTTACTAACGCTTCATATTCTATGATGATCATGAGCAGGTATGATCCCAACAGAAGAATTAGAAATTTAAGAACTGAATATCTCATCACAAAATGTCTTTATATTTCTATAATTACAATGGATTGGATCTTTTTTTTTAATTGTTGGTCGTTCAAAACATTACACAGTTCTTAATACATCATATTTCACAGTTTGATTCAAGCGGGTTATGAACTCCCAACTTTACCCCGTATACAGATTGCTGTATCACATCAGTTACCCTTCCATTGATTGGATCTTTTTAATGTAAACATTGTCACAACTACTATGTTCATGTGCAATTGTGGAATAACATTTGTCGTGCAAGTAGTTCTCAATTATTTTAGATTTATGAAGAACAAATACCTCTTTTCAATAGCCAGTCATACTACCTCATTCATGCATGGAATAATATTGTATTGTATTGCTGTTCTATCCTATCCCAGTTGCGGTGTGTGTCCACAGTAAATAACTATCCTACAACTTTGGATACCCATCTAAACCAACAGTTCTATTAGGGAGTAATTTTGCCTGCAGAAGGTATTTGGCAAAATCTGTAGATAGATGTTTTTCATTGTCACAATTGGGAGTTGCTACTAGCATCAAGTGGGAAGAGGCCAGAGAATGTTGCTAACCATCTTATATTATACAGAGTAGCCCAAACCTAATGAAGAATTACCAGACCCAAATAGCAATAATACCAAAATCTATGGAACTGCAAAGAGAAAAAAAAAATGTTGACTAAAGTGCAAGAGATGAAGTAGAAAAACAGATAATGATAAAAGGAAAAGGGTAGGCCAAAAATAAAAATGAAAAATAAGATAGTCAAAAACAGCATAAGAAGGTCACATAGGTCAAAAACAATTGTAGATGGCTGGGGTTGTGGCTCAGTGGAAAAAAACACTTGCCTCACGTGTGTGAGGCACTGGGTTCAATTCTCAGCATCACATGCAAGTAAATGAATAACATAAAGGTCTGTCAACAACTAAAACAAAAATGTAGAAATAAATTCTGTAGATACTGCCCTAGGTCCTAATATGTCTTGTAGACATAGGCTGTGCCCGAGCTGTGTTGTGGGCAGAGCTGAACTGGAGAAAGTAAGAGACTGGAAGGACGGTGATGGATTTTTGGATATGCAGAGATATTTTATTGAAGTTTAGTTATTCAAGTGGCCAACAGTAAAGCAAAGCTAGAAATAGCTTGTACAAATTATAAATAAGAATCTAAATAAACAATCTTTATTAAAAAGCTAGGAAAACAATTTTGCAAACCGATAACAAATCTTACTTACAAGTGAAATATTTGATCTACTCTCACTTTAAGTCTTGTGCTGTAATATGTCAGGTTTTTAATGAAATTGTTAGCACAAATTTTCTATAAAATGGGAACTTAGATGTTTAACTTTATGTGTCAACTTGGCTGGACCATGGTGTTTTGTTATTTGGTCACATTCTAACCTTGGTGTTGCTTTGAATGCCTTTTGTAGATGTGGTACACATTTACAACCCTTGATATTGGGGTATGACTCAACCCATCACTAAACCATTAAGAACATAGTATTTCTCAGAGAAGAATATTTGATTTTGAGACTACATAACAGCAACCATACCTGAGTTTTCAATCTGTCAGCCCCTGTAATCATGTGAGTTAATGTCTTAAATTTTCTTTATGGAGGATAGATGGATGGATAGATAGATAGATAGATAGATAGATAGATAGATAGATAGATAGATAGATAGATAGATAGATAGACAGACCGACCAACAGAGATACATAAAAGGAGTAGAAAACAATAGGCAGACAGAAACAGAGAGAAAGAGAGGGGATAGAGATAGAGAGATATCTTTCAACACCAAAGTCTCCACTAGAGAAAGAGTTGGTATTCAGGTGTAAAGGAAATATTAGTCCGATCCTACTGTTATCATAGACCAGGTGGCTCAAACAACTCTGATGTATTTCTCACAATGATGGAGATGGGGAAGTGTAAAATCAAGGCACAAGTCAATTTAGTTCCTGAGTATGGTTCTTTATTTTGGTTTGCAGATGGGGATCTTCTCTCTAAATCCTTATGTGATAGAGACTGGAGAAAGGTGAAGCAAGCTCTCTTGGGTCTTTTGTACATTAATTGAGATTAATAATTTGAGGACTCCAATAAAAACTAATCATGTTTCAAAGGTCCCATCTCTATATTTATCCAAGTTGGGATGAAGAGTTCAGTATATGGGAGTGGAGGTAAAAACACATAGTCTGGAACATGTGATAACAGAATATTTAACAGGAAAGGCAGGCACTGGTGAATTGTAAAGACCTCTATGTCCCTACTGAGCAGCATATAACATTGCTAGAAATTTGTTAATAAGGCAAAATACTGTATTCAAACTTATTATAATAAGAAAGGATGCTATCAGAGCATGCTGAATCTACAAACAGAAGAGAGATTCTGGATTCAGATGGTTTATGGTATGTCTTTCACTGCAGAAAACTAATTGGATTTTATTATATGATCCTTTAGAACTTGGGCAGGGAGTACAGCAAAGAGAGGGACTTGAAATAAGTCTTGTGATACACAAACTGTTGCTTAATTAGGGAGATGTTTATACAGGTTTGCAGACTATTATTTCCAATAAATCAGCCAATAGGAATCTTCTGAAGCACCTATTGAAATGATGACTGATTGGTACAATCTTAATCTTTTCCAAGCAAAAACTTTGCATAACTGAACTACAAAGTGATGTTGGCACAGGTGGTCTGAAGAATGATATATATAGAGATGGTGGCTTCAAGTGTTATTTCCTTTCCTCCAATTGTTACCTTTTGTTTCAAAAGAAGGGAGGATAACCAAAGAAGACAAGGTAGAGTAGAAAAGTAATTTGATTTAGAAAAAAATAATCAACCTCCTCCAGATCACTAATGATCTGTAGGACCCCAGGGCAGGCCAGATCAGCAAGAAGAAGAAGAAGATTTGATGTGGCTCTAAGATTGTTGTTTAACTCATAGTGGATTGGGTTGAGTTACTAATATGAAATAAAATATTTATTGGTATCCTAATGACCATACATCTTTTCATTGTATCATTCAGATTTCACAGAAGTTAAAGCCATCAGACCAAGAATGAAGTTCAGTGGTGTCAGAAAAATGAAGCCATTTCCTAATTTTGCCCTACTGTGTTCGTTCTGCTTAATATATTAGTTTATATTAAAGATAACTATATAATAATTCTCAGTTCTCTCTTCTATTTGATTGCAGTGATAGACTTTCATTTAGTGGGCCCTGACTTGATTGGCTTTTGATTAAAAAAAGAAAAAAATTATGAAAAATATAATATCATTTCACCATAGTTCATCAGTGAATTAGCTTACTTAAAATCAGAATAAATATAATGAACATAAAAGTTATGAAAATCAGTTTCTCATATCTTCTATTTCAGGTAGCATTATTGATTGATAGCCAACTGTATTTGTGCCAAAGTCATGCTGGTGGTCTCTCTTCTTGGTCTGTGAATAAGCCTTGCAGGGGACTATGGATAGAATATTTTGGTAAGATTTGGGAATCCTTTGATGGGTGACTTGCTAGGATTTTCTTAAAGTTGCTTCTAACCCAGCCTCCTTCCTTCCCTTTATCCTTCCCTTCCATCAGACATACATCAAAGCAAGATGGCTCTCCCAGACCTCTCCAAATAATTTCCTATTTTCCCTCACAAATATTTTTAACAACAAATCCCTTTCCTGTCTAATCCCATTTGGTGTCTGCTTTTCAAAGAACACAATTCATCAGTAATATTTATATTATTTAAATGAGTATTACCTTGAGCTTTTTTGTTTTAAATAATGGACTTTTTGTGATTTTCTAGGACTCTTTGAAGTTCTTCCTTGTGTTTCCACTGAATCCTTTGTTTTCTCGACATTATTGACTTGTCACATGATGTTAAGTTAGAATTTTATTTGTGTGAGTTTCTTGAAGGCAGATAATTTGTGTCTTTGTTCAGAACAATGTCTGTTGTACAAAGCAGCTCAATACATACTCTTGTCAATGAATGCCTCTCTGGAAGCAAAATTTCTGATGCAATTATATGAATACTTGTACTCATGAGAAGACATAAATCTCTTAATATATGACATATATGACATAGTTGTGTCATATATTTGAATTTTCTCTGAAAACTCCTGTTTTCGTGTCCAAAAAATATTAATGAAACATGAAACAGGGAAAACAAAAACTAAAGGCTTTTGAAAGTATGGGATTTATTTAATAAATGAATCATCATATTAATACAAGAAAATGAAATGCCATAATTCATGTTAGAGAATTTTTTAAATTTTAAATAAAATAGCCTAATGAAGAATCACTGTACGAAGGGAAAATAAACGAGAGAAGAATTTCAGAAAGATGACAACAGAATTGATTCTAAGCATTGGCATGAAAATTAAAATTCAAGATCAATCCCATGTCAAATTTAAGAAAGATCATAGACCCAAACCACTTAGTCCACAGTAAATTATTCACTTCCAGGAGACTGTAACGGTGAATCCTAGTGGTGAAAATGGTCAGCAATCACAGGTATGGGACAAGTGGAAAGTTAAAGTTCCATAAAGTGCAGAAATAATCATGAGAGAATCAGGAATATTCAGTAGGATGATCCAAAATAGTGAGAGCCAATGGCGGGGCGGAAACAAGTTGACTGGCAGCTCCTGGAAGGGAAGTAAGCTGGACGGTGGAAGCTGGACCCACATCCCACAGACTGGAACCCAGTGCTTCCATATCCAAAAGATCCATGGCCGGAGCTACCACATCCAAGAGATCCAGAGTAATTCGCTTGGCAGGGACTGGAGAAAATGAAGTTCTTTGGGCAATAACTCGATGTCTGGTAGGATCTGGTTCCAGGGCAGGATGTTTCATAGCTGATGGGCTCAGAGTAAGACTCCTGATGGCCACCATAGAAAGAGGAACCCAGCTGGTAGGTTCCTGGAGAGCAGGCTACATCACTGGGGTAGAAGGAGTTATACTGGGAAACTGGGTACCTCAGGTAATGTCCAAGAGATTGGGAGGAGAATCTTCCAGAGCCACAGTTGTAAGACATTTTGTCAGGAGTTCTGAGTTCAGCTGAGCTGCAGTGAGGAGTCTCAGGTAAATGTCACCTTCGACACTGGGTACTTATATACCCTGGAAGTGGGTGTAGCATGTGCCTATTTTAATAAGAATATTTAATTAGGCTCCAATAAAAATGAAATACATCAGTCTTCAAAGATCTTTATATGAATGCAAACTTTTAAATGAAACGATACCATTAGTTTTTCAAAGCACTTGTTCATGAAACAAAAATGTAATTTCTCATGAAAACCACCATGATTCTATCTATAAGACTGGGACTTTATTCATCCTGTTCTTCAAGATACTAAGTAAAATGGATAACATAGCAAAAATAGCAAAGATGCTTTGTAGTATAAGGGAGACAATTATACTGCTTCAAGTTTGGGAACTTAATGGAGAATAGAAAAAAGAAATCGTATTTCTCCCAAATCTTGTGGGAATTATGAAAGAAGCAACCCACTAACCTTAACTGGTAATAATGCTAAATAAATAGATAATAAATAAGTAGATAATAAATTCAGGTTTAGTTTTCTTATAATATAAATAGTGAAATTAATTTTGTCTATGTGAATATTTAGATCCAAGGGTCCAAGTTTTTATTAATATTTTGAAGGTTAATTATTTTATTTTTCTGTGTGTGTGTGTGTGATGCTGAGGAATTAACCCAGGGCCTTGTATATGCTAAGCCTACCAGTAAACTATATCCCCAACTCTTTCATTTGTCTCTTGATTGAAGTCATTAATGAACTTCATAAACTTGGTTATATAAAACTCTCCACTTGTACAATGTTTAAGTAATGTGCTTTGGTGTCACTGATTTATTGAGAAGAAAATAATGAGCACTATACAAAAAGTATAGAACTTTATTCTTTTTCCCCTCACAATGTAAAAAATTTACTATGCAGGATTAAGAAAATGAGAAATGCCAAATGTGTCCATCCTGCGTAGATTTCACAGAAGAATCAGGGATTTGAAAAATTCATAGTTATAAATGATCTTCATGAATTGAAATACGGTTGGGGGAGGGATCTCTGATGTAATAAATCCATCAAGTCATGAATGTTTATCTTATAGGACTTGGTAGCCTGAGGATTTTTCTGGACTCTCCCATAAAGTTAACCAAAGCTAAATGTAAATAAAGATAGTGTATAGCCTATGGGAATGGTAAAACATCTTAGGATATCTATCTTCAAAACTAATAATATTTTCTAATCACAATGAGCTGAGACATATTCTATGAAGAATTAGGGTTACTAGGTGGACATTTTAAGGAAAAATTTAAAATTATCTGCTACTGCAACTAATGAGATTTCTATCTTGAGTGTCCTGGGAATTTGCAATCAGGGTATAATCAAGAAAATTCCAGTCTAATAGAATATGGAGATTTTTGCCAAACTTTCTTCTGAAATGTGGACTTTATGAATCTGAACAGCTTGAGTTGACACAATGGTTTCATTTATTAGATAACATAGCTATCCCTTGTTTCTAAAATAAACAATTTTTATTTAGTAGGTCTCTTAATTATGAATCGAAAGAAGCATTTTAGTAGTTTCCATATCTGCTTCATTTGTCAATAAAATATTGAACATCAAAATACCACATAAATATTTAACTGATCTTAATTGAATTTGCTTGCTTGCTTCAATGTTATTTGCTTTTATATAAGATATTGCTGTAGAAAAAATATTCTGTGAGATCATACATTAAGTAATTTTGAGCATTCGTTTCTCAAAAAAAAAAAAAACTTTTCTATGAAACAAACAAATCAAACAGCTCATAAGCCACAGCAAGATAAACCTTCTCCATCTCTCTTATTCTTCCAGGTATCAGTCTTCATTACAGTCTTACGTAGACGAGGATCACAAGTCATGGAAGGAAAAGAAATATGGCCCTTCTTTTAGAAATGTTGTAATCCTTGTCAGAAACACCTGGAAACAATTTAAATCAAATTGATGTATGTTGCTTTCTGAGGCAAAGGAAGAATCTCCTTAAGATGGTTTCTTTGGTCTAACAATTATTTTATATTTTCTTTAGAACAAGAATATTTTCCAGATTCTGAGAAATCCTATTAGTGGAACAGTGACTCTGATTAGAGATAGAAATACATTGGGCATTTTGGTCTCATGATTTGTTCTTATTTTTAATGCTTTATTTTCAGTAATTTAGATGAATAATCTCTAACATTTCAAAATACCATAAAGTAACTTATGTGTGCTATTAGGCTAACATCACAGTTAACACACATATGCAAAAATAAAAAAAGAGAAGAAACAACTAAGATTGGCTTTTAGCTCTGAATGGTCCACAGTTTCAAGCAGAAGCTGGGAAACCAGGGAATCTTTCAGTAAATCGTTAACTAAAGCCTTTCAATTTGAAGTCTGATTTTTTAAAAAGCTTACACATTCTGCCTATCAGCATAGCTGCTTTCTGGTGACACCTTTCATTTAGTAAGCTTGACACTGTGCACGACAATCAACCTATGCTGTTGTTCAAAAGACATAACTATGAATAGGTAACTTAACAACGTTGCTAGTTGGGTGTCAAGAATTCTGATTGTGAAATGGGTTGCAATTATTTTTAATTAAGCCAGCTTCCCCCACCCAGATCCTGTCTACCTCTAAAGTACTTCTCTGAGTGATCTTCAGGGTGACCTTTGCTAAGGGAAGATGAATAATAGCTTTGAAGTTCAACACTATTACCTGAAGTCCAAAGCCACAGACGTGACTGCATTTTACAGTTGTAAAACCACAGTTCAATTAAAACCTGCAGGTAACTTGTTTTCATGAACCACGGGGTTGACACCACACCCAGTGAAAAGGGTATATAAATGTGCCAGTCCAAGAAGTGGCATTCCAGCTGAGAACCTTGTCATCTAAAGTTCTACCTCCTGTCAACATGTCCTCCAACTGCTGTTCTGGAAGCTACTCCTCCCGCTCCTTTGGGGGCTACCTGCAACAACGGGACAGCTCCTGCGGCTCTTCTGGCCCCAGCAGCGCATTCTACTGCCCTGTTTTACAAACTCCTGTCACCCACCAGCTGGGATCCTCTCTCTCCAGTGGCTGTCAGGAGACCAGCTGTGAGCCCACCAGCTGCCAGACATCCAGTGTGGTGTCCAAGCCCTGCCAGACGTCCTGCTACCACCAGAGGTCCTCCACATTCTGCCATCCCTGCCACACAACTTTCTCCGGATCGCTGGGCTTCGGGTCCAGGGGCTTTCAGTCTGTTGGTTGTGGCTTTGGATCCAGAGGGTTCCAGTCAGTGGGTTGTGCTCCTCACACATTCTCATCTCTAAATTATGGATCTAACTTTTACCGTCCCTCCTATTTCTCCTCCAGAAGTTGCCAGTCTGCTTCTTACCAACTGCCCTGTGGATCTGGCTTCTACTAATCATATGTATTAGGTGAAGAGAAATTTATAACCTTACTATCTTAAGATCCATGCTGTTTTTTGATCTCCTATATATTCTCTCATCAGCCTAAAAATTTGCTTCTACGTTTACCCCCGTGAATTAGGAATAACTTGAATTCCAGTAATTGGGAAATGTATTCTTTGGAGATAGATGTTAAAACTTCTTTTTTTAAAAAAAAAAAATTTAGATAGGCATGCAATAATTGAAGCATAATTCTTTCTTCATGGACCTCCTAGTTATATAAATTTTACAAAGTAAAGAGTGTTGTAAGTTTAAATAAAATTATGTTATCTTTCTATCGTGTTAGTATTTTCCTTTCCTTTAAAACTCTTTCTAAATATGTGTCTGGGTTTTCCTGTATCTTCTACTTATCATTTAACATTTTAAACTTTAAAGAGTATAATCATTTTTTTGATTCAAAAGATTTTTTTTTCATCTTTTATATTCACTCAATATTTTTGCATGAGAGATGAAGACATACAATTTCAAAACAACATACTCATACCTGGCTTATTACTAGGTAGAGAGTTAAAACTCCAATATTTAAATGTTATAATTTGCAAGGAGTATTAAATTGTCTCTGTCACTTAATTTTGGAAGAAAGATTACTCACAAAAAATATGTTCTAAAATGCATGGGAAATTGTAATGAAGGTATCCAAAAAGAAGTTAGATGATAGTGAGTTAGATTCAGCAAGGGCTTCAATTCTGCTAGCCTTACTGCCAGATTAAAAATCCAGTTTCTAAATGAAATCTTTAACATATTCTAAGACTTTTTAAGTCAATAAGCCAAACATTTTTCCATATAATCCATTTTATAAATTTGATGAACTCCCTTTTTTTTTTTGTGTTTTTCTAGTTTTTTTTTTGAAAAAAAAAAAAACTCTTCAAAAACAAGGTAAATAGTCTATTGTTGCAGCATTCTGAAGAATATCTAGACAGTTGGTAACACTTGAGCCATCAGTGATGTCCCAACTTGTTTTATCATTTATGTCAAGGAAAACCCTTTAGGGGGTCAGGTGACAACATTTCGGGGGTTCAGGTGATGTGGATCTTTACCCACAGAATCACTCTGTGTCTTGGTTTATTATTTTGTTTTAATATTTAGTCCCATTTGATAATTTTTCCAGAATTTTACATTTTATTTATAATCAATAAAAATTTCATTGGCCCAAGTGGCAGTAGGTTTAAAGAACTTCCACTTTACTTCCGCCATGGATTCATTCATCTGGAAGAATACAAGATGTATATACAATAACACCTTTGGACTTGACTCAATTGTTGAAGCTGAAAATGGACAGGCATCCCTCTTTATTAACCTTCCTGAACAAAATAGATCACTTTTTGTTCAAAGACAGCATGTAGAGGGATCACTTGGAAAACAAATTACACTCATATACAATAGATAGGACAACCTGCAGGTTTAAACAAATGACCCACTTGGAGGTTCATTGTTATTCTAACCTAGTTATACTAACTAGGGAGACAAGCTCCACTCCAGGAAAGATGCAGCGATATACACCAAACCACCAGTAGGTGGAGGTAGTGGGAAACAGGTTAGATGGATGAAGTATGAGTGAGCACCAAGCTGATGCTGCTTCAGAGCATATAAAGAATAATCTAAATGGTCTTTCTTCAGTGGTTTGGGGATGTATTGTTAAAATCTGAAACTATTTATTTCATTTTTGATAGCACCTTTCTCTTTAAATATTATTTAGAAATGGGCAAAAAAGAAAAACTCGTTTCTAAATACAAAAAAAAAAAAATACTGAATTTCTACTACCAAAAGAAAGTAGATGGTAAGTACATAGATTACACAGGAAATTAATGATGTTATTATTCATCAGGACAATATTATCTTTTTATCCAAGATAAGTGGCCACATGTAAAATAAAAGACAACATTTTACCAAACAATATCCACCTCTACTTCAAACACAGTCAAAGTTCTAAGAAAAATGCTTCCAATGATGATGACCTGTCCTTAGAAATTGCAAATGCTGATTCATATTTTACTTTGATACATAAATCTTATTTTAGGTTAAATAATTTTGAAAACATTTTCACTCATATTAAATTCTAAGTTTTCTTGTGCATGTAAAAATTAAAAAAAAATGATAATATGCCCCGTCATTAGCAGAAGAGAGACATGGATATGACAAAATAAGTAACTTTCATATCAAGACTGTTAAATGAGCTGGGTGGATGACTAACACCTGTCATTCCAACAGCTCAAGAGGTTGAGGCAGGAGGAACACAAGTTCAAAACCAGCTTCAGCAAATTAGCAAGGACCTAATTTAGAAAGACCCTGTCTCTAAATAAAATTTGAAAAGAGGTCGGGATATGGCTCAGTGGTTAAGCAACCTTGGGTTCAATCCCCACTACACACACAAAAAAATTTAAAGAGATAGCTGTATAAAAATGTCATCATTTCTGTGGTTAACGGTTGTCATTCACCTTTAGACAAAGCAGGCAGAGCCGCCCCAACACATGCTATGTGGCAATGTGCCACACACACACACACACACACACACACACACACACACACACACACACACACAAGACTCTCAGCTGTTTCAAATATAAAATGAATTCCAATGACTATCATTTTTTATATGGTCCAAAGAATCCAGTTAAAGCTGTGGAAAGTTCACAGTGTAAAGTTCACTAATGTAAAGTCGCTTACAACTCTCAACATTGAAGATGCGTGCACGTACTGGTTGTCTTGGTAATAATAAAAATCACAAATTTTGGTGAAGATGACATCAGATTTAAGACAACAAAAATGCAA